GAATTACTAAAGTTTTGGGTTTTATTTAAAATTAAGTTTAACTTTTGAAAGATATATTAACTGCAATAAATAAGTTTACATATATATTTTACAATTGCTAACTCTTCCATGGTTAAGTTACAAGTAGTGACACCTATGTTTTACATTTCAAAGTAAAATGATTTTGAACAGTATTTTAATTTAGAAAATTTGAAATAACTTAATGACTTCTTAAGTTAATATACCATAAAATTATTATGAAGTAAAAAATATTTTCTTAACAGTCTATTAAATTATATTTATTTGTAATGGTAATCTAATAACGAAATCATTGCCTTTATTGTCTAAGGAAGTTACGTCAAACGTCAAATGAGAGAAGTGTTTGTTTTTGAATTTTAACGGCGCACCGGTACCGTATAGCTCTGTAAAGTCGGTTCAAATTGTTTTATTATTTTGTTACTAATATGTCATTGTGAATTTATCAAGATGGATAACTGTGACGACATTCGTGACGAGGATTTTATCACGTTTCTTCATGGATTAGGTGTAGAGACGTATAAGAAGTCTTTTGAGTGGATGTTAAACGATTTAGACTTTTCTGGAGTTTTGCAGTGGATTTACAACAATTTGGATCATTATAATGCATTAACTGCTAGAGAAGAGTGCAGGTTAAGTATTTCAGATAACGCAAAACTGTAAAAGTCGCCTTGGTAAAATCGACACGAAGTATTGTGTTACGACACTTAGTTATGAGTTCTATAACTGTACTAAAACAAATAGCTAGTAATATATAATTTAATTTTTAATTTAAACATTTTAATCTTTATCATTAACAGATATGCAGAGTTAGAGAAGGAAGGAAAATTATTCTCACGTGAAAACTTATAAACACAAATCCAATCAATACAAGATGATTTCGAAGGTTTAGCCCTAGCTGGGGTTTAGATTTTTTAGAGGACGCTAAACTTGATATTAAAAGGCAGAAAGAGAAGCTTGCAATGTTAGAAATTCATGAAGAAATGCTTAATGAAATGATCGCTCAAGAAGAGTAAGTCATTATCATCAACTGTATAAATTTTATGATATTTAACATAGTGGAAGTATTTAAATTGTTGTTTAATTTAAAATTAGATATGAATATGGATCCTAAGTTTCTCACAAATATTTAACATTAATTATTAAAAACACATAATCAATACTGATACATTTTTAGGTCTACTAAAGAGGTCCTCACACTAGATATTGTTAGAAACAGTACAGAAACAATGTAATCTGGATGTCACTACAGCTAGCGAGCAATGCTTGCAGTTGGCTGAAGAAGTTGAAAACATTACCAGTAGCGTTATGAACAATATTGCAGAGGTTTTGAATGTTTATGGCACCAGCATGAATGATAAAGTATGTTTAATGCTATTGATGATTATTTGTAATAGTATACTTAAGAAATCATTAGTAAAAAAATAACTAGAATAACTATTTAGGTGACCAAATAAGTATAGCTTATATTTAAAAGCATACATTAAGTATCTTTGTAAGTTAAGACTTGGTAATTCTTAGTTGAATGACCAAAAGTTTTGCCTACTTTATTTTATTAACTATCACTTAAGTATACAAAGCTTTGTTCTAATAACTCTTTTACATGACAGTGAACTTTTTTCTATTTTACAAGTTTATTATGTCTTTATACATAAATACTTTTATATTGCTACACTTAACTTGTGTTAAAGTCATAATTATGTTATCAAAGTATGAAAATGTATCATATAATGTTATTCAACATATATTCCAGGAATTATCAAAACAGTTCTTTACATTTGGTCCTCTGGAATCGTATCGACAGACACAGTCACTGTTTAAGTCTCATTTTGATTTGTACACCAATAAGAAGTTCAACGACCTCCAAACAGATGTGAATGAGGATGATTTACGAACAGCCCTCGTTGAAGCTAAGGATATGGAGGAATGGTGAGGTTTTCTTATAATATACTATATGATATTTTATATATACAGATTATTAGATTTTACCTTTAGTTTGAGCTAGGAATTGGGCATATAATATTAAAAGTAGGTATGTGGATGTTTTAAGTGACCTACTTTTGTTATTGATATCTTATTATTAGATATACATATTACTATATAGTTTTATCAATATCTAAGCAGTAAGTTTTTGTGTGAAAGAGTATTAGAAATCTATATACACTTACAAACATTTATACTTGTTTGGGACTTTTTGCAAATCTCATAATATATCTTATTCTTATGTTTAAACAAATGAATCTAGAAATAAAAGATTTCCCAGTCTATCTTGTGAGATAGCAAAAAGTAACTATACAATCAGTCGCCCAAGTTCTTCAATATGAATAATAAATTTTCTCATTCTATATTTCAGACTCTCTAATGCCGTCTGTACATACATAGAATCCAAAGCAGAGTTGTGCGGGGAGCTTGCCAAGTTGATGCTTGTGTCTAACTATAGTCATGTACATTCAAGTGAAATTACGTATGTATATAAATAATATGGTTAATTAATAAATTTCATTCAATATTCATGTCATTTTATCATATTACGCATATAGATATTGTAGTTAAAATTCATAAAAAAAATAAATGTTAAAATGTATAGAATCTTCTTCTTAATGTTCTTTCTAATTACTCGGAGACGCACCTTCACCAATTTTTTTATGCTTTCTCCGAGAAAAGCTCTAGTCACTAGTTTAGTGAATCCTTAGATTTTGGTAGAGAACAATTTTTTTTGAACATGGGTTTCGTTTTCCGACCCTAATTGAAACTGATGGATCAGTTAAAAATATTTTTTTTTTTTTTTTTATGTGAAAGGTGGTAAACGAGCAGACGGCCCACTTGATGGAAGGTGGTTACCGTCGCACATAGGGGTATTTAGTTAATCTAGCTGGCCAAAAACATTTGTTTAGTTTTTTGAGTTGCTAATGACGGAAATAAAACAAGCGTAATTAAAACGGTTATAAATAATGTTTATTTTTTTATAATTTCCATAAATAGAGAAAAAAACAAAAACCACAATTAAAAAATGTGATTCACATGTCTACATTGATATTATATAATGATGATTAGGGGTCATCCATAAAGTATGTCACACGTAAAGGGGGGAGGGGGGGTCGACAAAGTGTGACATAGTTATATATACTACATTTCCAAATCTATTATATCTAGAGGTAGTTAGCTTGTTGTTAGCACGCGATGCTGGTATAGCCTCAAATGAAGCAATAACAAAAAAATCTCAACTTTGAAGAAAAGTATTGAGCAGGAAAAAATATATTAAAGCGAAAGATTAGCGCAGCGGAAAGACAGAAAAAAGTCATTTAAATGGAAATAAAACTAAATTCGGAACTGCAGTTTTAATTTAATAATTTTTCGATGTGAAATTGCAAAACATGTGATGTCACACTAGGGAGGAGGGGGGTCTCAGAAATGTGACCACCTGTGACAAGGAAGGGAAGGGGGGGTCAAAAAATTATTAAATTCGTGTGACGTACTTTATGGATGGCCCCTTATGACACATATGATTCCATTAATTTTACTTCATAGCTACAAGTATTTATAGATAGTGTGGCATGTCTAGAAATATTTATTATTATTAATTAAATTAATGAATAATCAGTTTATCTCATCCTCACTTTCTGATTTAAGTGCGTGCGCGTCTTCTGGATTTGGTGTTGCAGATACAAGCATATTCAATGTTTCAGGAAGAAAAGAAGACTTCTTATTTTTCTTTATTACCCTTGAGGCACTAAAAAAGGGATCTGAGCTTAAAAGTAGCCTATTCAAAATGTCTCTATTACAGGACTCTCTAGAGAATTTTCGTGAGTAATCCTGTCTGTATGACCTAAAATGCTTGTTGCGTGCCTCTGCTGCTTCTTCAGATAGTTGCCCTATGGGTAACAATGCATTTTTTATTATATCCGATCCGTGCACAAGTACTTTGTGCAGTGTGGGTGTCATTGGGTGCCACGGGTAAAGTTTTACGTACAAGAAAGCAGTTTCTTCTGCATATTTTTCATATTTTTCTAAATTTATTTCGTATCCGCTCGAAATCGTTTCCAAAATCACTTTTAATCTATATATCAACTCGTAATCTATTCCTGTAATATCTGAGGATAGTTTCGGATCTTCAAAAAATCTCCTGCTGGTGTTGCCGTCATTAGTGTTTCCGAAGTTTGCTTTCGGCATGTCAACTAATAAGCCAGTTTCATTGCGGAACCTGTTCTGTATTTCGATTTTCTTATTCATCTCAATTTGTTTTTCCTCCTCTGATTTTCTCTGCCGGTACTTTTTCACAGGCAATTTATACGCTAAGTGTAGAATGCTTTCAAAAAATCGTATTCTCGCATGTAAAATAGAAAGACCGAATTCAGTAGCATCCTTTGAAATTCTCTTTTTGTCCTTTAAATTGTTGAATTCTTTGGAAGTTTTCCCACAAATATAGCAACGACTTGTAGATGTTGTTCCAGTAGCTGCGTTGCAAACCTTTCCATCTACCATTGTCATTACAAATTGGGAATGCACCAAAAACTTTTCTCCGTCAATATCCACCTCAGTCGCAACCAAATTATTAATGGAATTTTTAACATAATTGATCTCTGCATTTGTTACATCAGTTGTCTCTTTGACGAAGCGAAATCTTATTGGACGACAAAATCGGGCAGATGAAGGTGTTGGATTTTCCCATAACACCTTTTGATTGTCCTTACCGCAAATAAGTCGCACAGGTACAAAGCAGCTTTGAAAAATATTTGCATCAGAGTCAGCCTCATTTTGAAGTTTTTGTTTGTACTGTGCTTGTTGGGATCCATCGCAGCCCCATTTACATATCAACTTCAAAGTGTTCCGCTCTTGCTCTTTTATTGTCAATAAGACTTCTTCTAAGAATTCCGATAAGCGCTTAACAGTAATATCAATTAATGGTTGCAGTTGGGTTTCCGCGCAGGTACTCGTTATCGTGATCGTTTCTGGAGGAGGATAACATTTCTTTTTGGCTTCTTGAATTAGGCTATAACACGGGAAAACTTCTTGTTCGTGTTTCTTATAACTTCATACTGTGCTCGTGTTAAATCTGCATCTATAAACATTTTTAAAGCTTCCATGGGGGTTAGACGCGATGATTTTCCACACTTAGAGGTATCGAAAGCTTTTTTGTACTTCGTTGCACGCGTCGGAGAGCTTGTTATATCTTGGAGAACGCGGGAAGCATCACGTTTTCCCGATTTTCTCAGTTCAACTTGAGCTGCGTGAACTATAACACCATCTTCTACATTGGAGCGGATCTCTTCAGTTTTTCTTCTTTTGCTCCTTTCGCTAGATTCACCAAATGATTTACGAGGGCGACCTTGACGATTTTTAGTTGTGACTGGAATTTCGAAATTGCCTTCCAGCCAAAGATGGTTGTTTGTTAAGAAAACCTCTTCTTTTTTGTGCGATTTAATCCACCTTTGCTTCATTTCTGATTTGAAATGTGAAAAATTGCGTTTCAGTTTATTTAACTGACTTTCACTAAGGTTGTCTTGAGTTAAAAGGTGGTCTCTCAAAAAACATAGCTTTTCTTCTAAATTACGTAAATTTTCATTCTTCATCTTATCGAAGAGTGATTTACGAGTCACTATTCTCACTCCAGAGGAACCCTTTGAACCTAAAACAAAATTTAAACATAAATTACTATTTCACTAATTTCGACTGTAAAAAATCAAAGTACTCTGCTTTAACGTATCTGCGCTATTCCGCGGCTAATTTATATAGGATTCGTTACTTAAGAATCTACTTTTTAAATATGAATGACAAAAAAAGCCGGATCTACCCCGATACTAAAACAAATACATCTTTAAAGATAAAATTTCTTTAAAAAATCTTCTCATTTTAGACATTATTCCTCGGTCACTAAAAATATATGAAACAAAATTAAATTTTATTTATTATATAACATTTAGATTGTCACATACCTGTAGTCTCCGAATCCATTGCTTCTTTGCACCAGGTTAACACAGAAAACTGCAGTTTAGCTCACAATTTTAATGCTTTCTATAAATCGCCGATAACTGACAAATGCACAAAGTTCGATGATCAAATTCCGACTGAGTTTGCCAGATAACGCGCAACGGGAGAGGGGCGGGGACGGCGGCCTATTGTTCGTTGGAGTGTCCCCTGCATTAGGTAGTCGAATGCGGTAGCATTTTTGTAACTTTGTTATTTTGACTTTTGGCCGCGTAGATAATTAAAATACCCGTCTGTGCGTCGCCCATGGACATCCGCAACGAAATGTTGCGGATGCGTTGCCAACCTTGTTTTTTGAGGATAGGGAGGGGTGGGAATAAGGAAATGAAAGGAAAGGGTAGGAATAGGGAATAATTTTTGATAAAAGTTAAACACCACACCAAACAACTAAGCTATCTCAAAATTCTTGACGAGATAGGACATTAAGTTGCTGAAATTATATCCATGAATGACCAGAGTATAGCAGTTTTCTTGTTTCACTCAATAAATTTATTACTAACTTATATTTCCAGGGTTTGTTCATTGGAGGCTCAAAGTGCCATCAGTTTACTGGAACAAGAGGAGTGTATATTGGAGCAACAGTTACTGTCCATAGTCAAACAGTACAGCGAGGCCCGGAGCAGGCTGGCTGTGTCCACAAGAACTACCTCCGCTATGATGATGAGGAGGTCAGTATAAATTGGTGAAGTTACATCACATATAGGAAATGAACCAGGAAGGAATTAATGATTTAGAGTGTCTAAATATCGGTCTATTTGTTTGAAATTTTAATACATTGATATTTTTGATATTGTCTATCATTGTTTATGTATTTATTAATTTGTAAAGAATTAAATTACTATAGTATATATCGGAATTATTACACATTCGTTGTTTTTAAAGAGAGAGACGCCAGCCTCGTTGACGTTACAAATGTCACTTCTTCTAGAACGTTCGATTATATTTTAAAATGAAACTTCAATTGTTCTTAATGTTCCTGTATTTCTGGAAGGTTCTTCATAATCACATAATTTAATGATACACACTCACTGAACTCTGAATTCTCAATTCTGCCGTCGTGCGTCCAGACGTCATATTTATACCAAGATTTAAACATAGTTCTATTCTCCTTTAAAACAACCGTTGATTTCGTTTTACTTTTAACAATAATTCTGAATACTAATGAGTTTTAATAAGAATCGATGACAGCCTCAAATTATTTTCATGTCGCATCCTTTATTAAAGCTGATAGCGCCGATATATATAATAAAAATATATTAAATTCGTGATTTTTGTATTGTTGAAGGAAGATTCAAAGACGGAACATATATGTAATAAAGTGATCTAAGTACATTGTGCTTGACATCATAATTTTAACAATAACAACAAAGCAGACCAGCTCAGTGGTTCCAGAAGACATTAGTGTTTTAAATGTCCGCTCCCACATATGATTACAAGCAAACTGTGCGTGTAATATTCCTATCACGCCTAACAAACGCCCTGATGGCCTTGAAGACCTGATTCGATTTCTAAAAAACATAGCTAAGAATACTCAACGGATATACCTTTTAAACAAAAAAACCGCATTAAAATAGGCTCATCCGTTTGGGAGCTACGTTACATCAGACAGACACATACACACACACAGACACATAGACACGTCAAAATTATAACCCTGTCGTTTTTGCGTCGGGGATTAAAAACACAACAGTAATGAATAAAATTAGTAATGAATTTTGTATTTATTTTCCAGACAAATCTACAAAGACCTATCACACCTAGAGGATGTATGTCAGCAGGCTGTAACGTTAGATCGTCTCGTGTACTACGCATTAAGACGGGAGCTACGTACTATGGAGGATGTAATACAGTTCGTGGCTCATCTACGCTTGTATCTGATACAGGAGAGCGAAATAGTTGCTGATAGGATCGTGAGTATATGCTTTTTATAAGGCTACTACTAGGGCTACAACCTACTAAATGACTTGAGCCTGTCCAGAACTCACATTAACTCATTCCTGGAACACACTTCAAAGTCAGTCCTTGTAGGTTATTTTCAAATTTGGTAGAGGGAGGAGCTTGGACAGTGGAGGTGAGCGTTTAACGCGCGTTAGATAGGGTCTTAAACCTACACCTGGGTCGCAAGTCACAGACACTGTTGAAGCTCCTCTCTTTACAATGAATGGACCCGGCACCCGCACGGTGAATACATTGAATGCTAAGAGGTTTCGTCTCTATATAGTTTGTATTGTGTTTGTAATTAATTGATATACACCCAAATTTATTATTTGGATAAAAACTTTACTTTTAAATAAGGATTATCGTATAAAGGCATAGATAGAATTTGTTTTAGGATAGAACTAAAACGGTTTAGTGCTGCCATCTAGTTAAACTTAAACACACATATAGTAAAATATGTCTAGATTTTATTTTTTTATAAATTAATTAAAAGCATTATAATTTTATTCTGACCTACTTTATTTAAGTTTCTGATTTGTTTTTAAGTTTTTTTTATAATTCTGATGCAATTAATTTTATACATATTTATTTTTTTGACATATATGTTATAGTATGTAAATTTATAATTTTTCAGGAATCAATGACTGATATATGCAAAGAACAGGAAAATGTTGAAAGAAATCTACAAAAATCAAACAATTTATTACAAAGTTTGTCTTCAATACTTGGAGTAAATAGTACAGATGTGTTGTTATATGTTAAGACTTATAATGAATTGATGAGTAGAGGTAGCCAGTTGAAAGAAAATGTAACTGAGGAATATAAAAGAAAGGAAAATGAATTGATGCAATAGTAAGTATGATTTGAGTGTAATTATATATAAATATATATATTTTTGTGTGTCTTAGGAATTAATCTAGGTAAAACTACATATTTACCAATATAACAATCATTTAACGAGACGATTTTAGAAAAGTTATTGAAAGATACTATAACTTTTTTGTATAATCACAAAAAGAACATTTTTTTGATAATCATTTGGGCTTGTAAAATAGTTTTTTAATAATCTCAAATTAATAATTTTAAATGGAGTAATAGATGCAAATTAATATGTATTTGACAGAAATACTCCTCTAAATACAAAATACCGTAAATTTTATGTTCAATCACCGTTTGTTGTATATATAATAATAATTATTTAACGAGACGATCTTAGAAAAGTTATTGAAAAAACATATGTTTATGTGTAACCACAAAAAGAATATACCCTTTTTGCCTGCTAGCCATTAACTAAAATATTTTATGATAATTAGTAAATTGCCCCCTTTGCCAGAAGTAATGCGACATGCGATAGGGTAACATAAATATTAAATTTCAACTATCATACAACAATAAATTTTCCTAAATAATTAATTTAGTTTAAAATTCATAAAATATAGTCCTATATCATAGATTTCTTAAAAGGTCAAAAATTCCTTAAAGGCTCAGTTCTTTAGGCCGAACCAATTAAATGAATAAACTTATGTATTAACACTCAACATACTGACTTAGTATTAATATATAATATTAATAGCTAATATAACTGTTACTTCCAAGTGTCTTATATATATATAAGACAATAAATTTTCAGTAAGAAGTCATCGGCCCAGTTGTACAAAACAACCAAACTGCAACAACACAGTCATTTCAGCCATGAGACACCGACTGATACAAGACAGAGATGTTGTGGATGAAAGGATTGTTGAAACAAGTGTTATGTTCAATGATGTTAAGGTAATGAAAGATACTTACCTAAGTATCTACTTAGTAACTTCTTTTAGGTTACTTCTAGTAAATTAGATAGTTACTTATGTAACTAGTATTTACTATCAATATATTAAGATTATGGTGTCATAAAGTGATCACATTGTGAATTTTAATAATAATATTTGAATGAACCTATTATTTTTCCTATTACTACGAGTATTTTATTATTTTTAATGGTCGAAAAGATGTTTACCGTTATCACGGTTGGTGAAAAGTAACAGTAACGTCGGGAATATGCAGTTTTTAAAAATAATATAATAACGCGTATGTAGTAATCAGAAAATTTTTAGTTTTATTAAATGAATATACGCTAAAGTCTTAGATCTCATTATATATATGTATATATTTTGCATTTAAAAGCAATTAAATTGACTATCATGACAAATAATTTGAAATATTGAAATTATAATTATTTTTTTCAGAAAAACGATAAACATAATATGAGGAAGTTGTGGCAATGGTTTCTTACGGACCAGTCAAAGCTGTTAGCACAGCTATCAATAATATAAGAGGATGAATATTGTTATACTATAATATATAATAAATAGGTTTAATTATTGGTATAATTTATTTAGTATTCTGTATTTGTTTAATCAGTACTATATATTCTTTATTACTAGTTTATGCTCGCGATTTCGCGTTATTTTTGGAATTAGTAACATATGTATAGCTGACTGGGCGAACTCTATTCAGTTTCATTTTAGAGTTGTTTTTCTCCTTGCGAAGTTCAAAATAAAGATGATTCATATTGAACATAATTCAATTATAATTTATTCAATAACATAAGTATAGGAATATAATCTTATGGTACATACAGTACATACACATTGATACAGTCAAAAAATATAAAAATGACTATACATAGTACAACCTCAGTGAAGCACCGTTTAAAATATTATAAATTAGGTAAAAATGTTCTTCATTACTTAAAATATCCTTAGAGTACAGTTATTTTGTAATTTTATACAAATTTTCAGTCCCAAGTAGGTCTTGGTTTTTTTCTAAGCAGAGTGTTTTCCGGTGATATGTGTATCGGATTTGTAAAATCAATTTCTATATTCTCTGGTATCGTTTGAAAGTATGCGCTCCCTCTTGTGTTATCTGAAAAGTATTGAATTGTTTAAATTAGATATTTATTGACCAAGTTATTTATATTATAATTTCCTCCCCATTTTTGTCAGCCCGCCTTATTTAATTCACAAGACGTCACTAAAATGTTAAACCAAACCATTCTAGCAGCTACATAAAAGACTAACAAG